TTCGATACTCTCTCGGTTCGGACTTCGACTAATTGACTAAAAAACCCAAAAAAAACCCGATTATGGTTCGTTTTGATTACTTTTTTTTTTTTATCAAAAGATACCCAAATTATCCGAAAATACTCGATATATTAAATAACCATAATTTAAACAACATATATTTATGACTTTACTTTTCTTCTCAAAATCAGTTAGATAATAATATGGTTAGCAAAAAAAATCAGAGACAAAAATCATTTCTTTCCTTAATGAGATTCTTAATCTTGTTTATGTGCATGTACTAATGATAAAAAGGCATTGTCTGCATATAAATAAATCAAATCGTAACCATTTTATCTTCAATGCATCTTAAGTTTTAGCCGACTTAGTAGAAGATTGGCATTTGGCAGCCAATAAAGCAAAACAAATTGCAGAATTATAAATGTGACTTATAACTATTCATAATTTTAAAAACTTATAAAAAAGCAAACACAGTAAAGAAAAAGATGTATACACCAGAAAATTGCAACAAAATCAATATTTAATCAATAACCCTTACACCTAAACTCACCTAACAAATTTTGAAGTGTAAGTTAATTAAAGTTTCTTTTTTTTTATTTAATTAGACAACCTAAAATCTTCATCCATTTAAAGAGTTTTGGGTCAGAAAAATTGACTGCAAAATTAATTAAAAATTAAAAATTTATATTGTGATGTAAAAACAAATTAATCATAATAAAACTTATCATAGGGTACAACTTGCTCAGATCAACATGCTTCGAGCTTACTTTGAATCTTGCTCCTTCGAGACTGAATCGATGGACTCAAACTCTATTGCTCGAGCGATTTCGACGAGTGTTATTCGGGATAGGCAATTTAATTTATATCTAGTTCTTCGAGATCCAGTATGGTTGCACGATAGATTTGCTCGTGAAGTTATGGTGTAACATTTTTACGCTTTTTTATTGGGTGTTAATGGTTTTTTCGGTTTCTTGTTTTTTGATTTGTTCCTTGAATCTTAAGTTTCGATTATACTAATAACACTCAGACGATTAAAAAAATAAAAAATATTCGATTAGTTCCAACAAAATATGTAAAACGGTATCTTATATCTTCATATGAACTTAAAAAAAAAAAAATCTTTATTATGAAGTTCCGGTCATGGGGCAGGTCTTCCTAGTCTAACGGTTAAATTTCCTAACTCTCCGTCTTTCCGAATAATTCTTCTAGCGGCGATGCATATCAACAGCTTTGCCTCAATGATATTGGGTTGAGTAACAAAGAAGAAGTCTCGGAATGGCTTGGATCCTTTTTCATTTATTATGAGTCTTCTTTGTCTTTGGTTCTCATTGTTATAGTCTTCAAAGTTTTATTTTACTTTCTGAACTAAGCGGTGTGTAAGTGATGGAGTAGTGGAATGTGCTTATGCCTTAGAGGCGCTCCTATCGCGGGACTGAGTATTATTATTTGTATGTCATTTTCAGGTTATCAATAATTTACGCGATGGAAAAAAAAAATAAAAAAGTTCCGGTCATGGTTTTTGTCGAATTAATCAGATACTGATGTAAAAATAAATCGGGAAAACTTCCTAATGGGCCTATTTTGGCCCAAAACGTGTGTTTAATTACGTGGACGCGCGCGCATAACTCGTCCTCTGGATTTTTCACTATCTTCTCAGAACCAAACAGAGCCAATGGTTCTCTTTTTTTTTGTGCAGTAAAGAATCAATTCACTCTTTGGAGAAGAAGAAAGTTGAACTGAGCGATTTAGAGAGAAATGCTGAGTTTGAATGTCTCCGATTCGCTTCGTCTTCCATTCTCAAACCCTAGGCCTCCCAATTGTTGTTGTTCCTCTTCCTCATCGTCGTCGAGGAGATGTGTCTCCGCTTCTCCAATTCGGATCGGGTTTTCGTTTCGATGCTTCTCCAGGTCAGTTTTTTTTCTTCCTCAATGTTTTGAATCTGCATTTTGTTTCGTTATGCGATCGGAATTTAGGGGTTTTATCATATGTCTTCACAATTCTGTGCAGCAAACGTTTGAGTCAATTGCGTCGTAACGAATCTCGGCTAGGGTTTCGATGCTTCCGACGTAATGCTTCTTGTTACCTCGAGGTGAGTTTGTTTGTTGGTTTAGTAGTGAGATTGAAATTAGAGAGATTATCATGTAGAGGCAATTGCTATTTCGAATTGCTTTGTTCCATGTGGATTTGGTGATGTAAATTTAGCAGAGAGGCTTGTAGATTTTGTATCGCAATCATTAATACTGAAGATTGTGAGAAATTATTTGAATGTTGAACACTAGAGGAGAGATTGTGGTAGGTGTATAAGCTACTTGTAGTTGTAGGAGAGGAAACTGACTGAATTTCTTTGATTGCTATTTCAGAAAGCTGACTCTGAAGATGAATTTAGGAATCCTGATTTTGTGGTTGAACCATCGATATTCAACTCGAGAAGAGAGACTCAAAGAGTTCTCAAGTTCTTGGCTGTATCTGGTTCGTTCGCATTACTCGGAACTGATCCAGCTTTTGCGGTTTCGCAAATTCCCAACGGGATGCAGTCGTTTGTCACTTCTCTTGGTGACCTCGGAGACATTAGCTCAGGTTTTGCTTCGGTTAGAGAATCTTCCTTTTGCACAGTACCGAGAACTATGTCTTATTCAATGGCAGTCCTGTAAAATTTACGTTTTTTCCTCTGTCTACGTCTCTCTGCAGGCGTTCTTGCTTATTTTTTTCTCTGAACTTGGAGACAAGACTTTCTTCATTGCGGTATGATCTTGAGCTTTTCGAAGTTATGTTGAGATGTTAGTCTACGGTTTAAAAGCTCCCTGTCATCAAACTTTCTATTGATTGTGATAAGTTTTCATATGTGCTGGTTTAGGCTCTTTTAGCAGCAAGGAACAATGCTGCTACTGTATTCGCAGGGACTTTTGGCGCTCTTGGGTATGCATTCTTTCTCAAACATAGGCGTTATGGTCCGTGTATCTTGTCTGAAACCAAATGTTATTTGGAAATCAGTAGAGGAACGTTATAAAATTTGGTATTTTTCAGGATAATGACGATAATATCGGTAGTTCTTGGACGAACTTTCCACTATGTCGATGAAATTCTTCCATTCAGGTTTGAAAATTCCATGAAAGAAAATCATTTATCAGGTTTTAAATTTCATGATGAATCTGAACGTCAATGACTTGAAACACACAGATTTGGTGAAACCGATTTGCCTCTAGATGATATTGCAGCAGTTTGTCTTCTGGTAAGCCATTATTCACCTTTCTAAGCAGACCTGTGTTAACCACTAACCAGGGGTGTTTGGTTTGGACCTTTCCGGTTTTTGGTTTAGCCAGTAAATCTACCACAGTGAAACCAATTGTAGTCTGGACCCATTTGGTATGAATTTTGTTTTGTCAGGTTCTTCGGTGCTTTATACTAGTGGTTTAAACTTTTAATGAAGTTTTAAGCCTCGGGTTCGATTTGGTTTCGATTTATTTATGTGGAAAAAGTTAACTGAAATGAAGATTTTGATTTGTTTTCAAAACTGTTTTTTGGTTCGGTTTGGGTTGGATCATATATTACAGGCCTAGTCTTAACCACAAAGTACTATTAACGAATTTTGTTACGTTTAGGTTTACTTCGGTGTTTCAACGTTAGCAGACGCTATTTCAAACGATGGACTTAAAGCCGACGAGGAACAGAAAGAAGTAAAACCTCTTTTTTACCCGTTCACTTTTACATTTCTTCCATGCAACCTTCAAGTACTCAATATTTTCTGTCCTCTTTTCTCCAGGCAGAACTAGCGGTTTCAGAGCTTTCAGGTAATGGAGCTGGTATAGTAGCAGCCGCAAATACCATCATCAGCACTTTTGCATTAGTTTTTGTTGCGGAATGGGGTGACAAATCCTTCTTCTCAACAATCGGTGAGACCAAAAACTTCCAACTTACTTGATAAACTTGACAAAACTGTATATAATCTTTTAATTCTGTGAAGCTCTTGCGGCTGCATCATCGCCATTGGGTGTCATCGCTGGAGCATTGGCGGGTCATGGTGCTGCGACTCTGGTGAGTTCTTTCTCTTTGAAACTTTTATGTGAAACACATTAAGATCCTAGCAGCTAGACTAATGAAAAGCCTCTTTAAAGTACTAAACTCTAAAATCTTAATAGGGTTAGAAACCCATCAAAGAGAAGATTTTCAATTCTTCATAAACTTGGAGACACAAGAACTCTAACTTGCTGCTTCGTTTGTTGATCGCAGCTTGCGGTTTTGGGAGGTTCTTTGCTGGGAAATTTCTTGTCAGAGAAGGTAATTACACTCTC